CGCCGCACTGGGTGCCCTGTCGCCGAGCGACCCCCTGAACTCGTTGTGCACCCGCCCGAATGCTCTCCGAAGACTGTCCATCGCCGTTTCTCAGCCCGCATGGGTGTCGAGCCTGCTGCGCAACTGAAGGTGCCCGACCGAGGCCACCCTGTGTCGCTTGTTCGTGTTCCACGCCTCCTCGCACAGCGCCTCGGCGAGCTGCCTCGGGGAGCCTTCGCCGCCCACTGCCTCCACCCACCCAACCGCTGTGCACGGGCAGCTGCACCACATAGACTGCACAGTGATGAGTGCACAACATAAGTTGTGAAACGCGTATTGCACCACACAGATTGCACCACATGGATTGCTCCACATACGTTGCTTGACGTAGATTGTACAACATCGATCGCACCACATATATTGCACCACACAGATAGGCTACACCACATATATTCACCGCATGATGAAAAATATATTCCCCTCCCCCACACTGGATTCAACCGCCCCCCTTCGCATTGCAATTTGCACACGATCCTGCCCCACCGTCCATCGCAAGTATGCATTCGTAGCATCCCCCCGTTTTCCATCGTTTGTAGCAGTACCATGAACGCATACATGTTTATGACAAATCATCAAGTTTCAAGGACCGCTTTCTCCAGAAAGCGAAAGGTTAAATGTACACGCGCGGGTTGCCGCGCGCGCGTGTCGAAATCAATCAGACAAATCATTTGGGCGTCGTCAATATTTCAAAACCGAACGCCTCGAAAACATATGAAACCAGATGGCTTCGCAACAAGATTTCTTTTAAATGAAAAGCGACTGTGCTCGCGCTCTTGCGAATTATTTCGGAAAACACTTGTGTGTTCAAATTGTTCAAAAGATGTTACCGCATGGGCCTCTCGGGCGCGCACGTCGACATCTTTCGAGCGTCCTTGCGCGCGCGCTGTCGCAAACATCTTTTTGGAAAGAGAACGGAATGCACGCGCGCGCGTCGACTCGCGCGCACGCCTGAATGTCAAGAAACCTTCTGGTGGTGTAAGGATGGCAAGAGAACACTTGCCCCGAAAATATGTGCAACAAGAAAAATGGTTTTGTACCGTCCGATGTTTTCTCTCTTCCCGGTTTATATATATATATATACATGAGTGTACATGTATGTTAGATATATGTATATATACATATAGATCTAATATGTGTGCATATATAAACTGCGCGCGCGTTCCTGCTGATCCGTGGGAAAACCTTAGGTCTTCTACATGGTCACCAAATTCTGCAAAAAAAAAAAAAGGCCGCTCGCGCCGCATGTCTCATTCATCCGAACGCCCTTGCGCGCGTGCTCGGGGGACACGATCCGCGTCAAAAAATAACAAGCGGGCCACTCGCGCGCGTCGGCAGCGCGCATGTCGCATTCCTTCCAAAACCTTCATCACCGACGCGGGGACATCGTCATCGTTATCGGCGGGCGGACGTGATCAACATCGGCACCGTCATTGGCCTCGCCGACGTCATCGCCACCATCGTCACCACCATCGCTATTCTCATCATCGTGTCAACCATTGTCGGCGTCGCCATGATACCGCGCCCACCCAAGTCGCCGACTCGCACTGAAGTGCCCGCTGGGATGTGCCGAGCGGTCAACGCCACCGCGGCCGCGTCGGCCGCGCCGCACAAGCTGGCCGCCGCGCGCGCGAGCATTCGCGGGCTAGCGCGGCCGCAAAGATGTACCAGCCAACGCCAAGCACTCATCGCAATCGCCGTCGCCTGGGTTTTGCAAACCAAACCTTAGGTCCTGGAAGGGTTTCAAAATCAAGCGTCCAAACAACAGATTAAACACTGGGTTTCGCAACGTAGATTCTCCAAAACAAGCATGCGCGCGCTCTTGCGAATTCTTCCGAAAACCATTGGGTTTTCCACATTTCCAGAAAATACTACCAAACGGGTTTCGCGCGCGCATGTCGAGATCGTTCGAACGCCCTTGCGCGCGTGCCGTCGCGAGAATCCTCTGCAACGAATGAGACGACATGCACGCGCGCGCGGCGTCGCGCGCGCATGCCGAAATTGTTCAAAAACCCTCGGTTTCGGAGGGATTACCAAAATCGAGTGTCCAACATATATAAATATAAGCATATTTATATATATATATATATATATATATATATATATATATATGTGAGTGTCAGAAAACAAAAGATTTCGCAACACGGATTGCCAACAAAAGCGTGCGCGCTCTTGCGAATAGTTCTGAATAAAGACACAAGTTTTCAACATGTTCATAAAACGTTATCAAACGAGCTTCGCGCCCGCGCATGTCGAATTCGCTCGAACGCCATTGCGAGCGTGCCGGGGTGGCACGATCCGCGTCAAATAACACCATGCGAAGCACTCTCGCGCGTCGGCAGCGCGCGCATGTCGCATTCCTTCCAAATTCTGCATCATCGACGCGAAGACGCCGCCAACGTCGCCGGCGTGATCAGCATCGGCGCCGTCACTGGCGGCCCCGTCGTCGCTGCCATCTTCGTGTCTACCGTTGTCGACGTTGCCATGATACCGCGCCCACCCAAGTCGCCGACTCGCACTGAAGTGCCCGCTGGGATGTGCCGAACGGCCAACGCCACCGCGTTCGCGTCGGTCGCGCCAAACTAGCTGGTCGCTGCGCGCGCGAGCATGCGCGGGCTAGCGCGGCCGCAGAGATGCACCAGCCAACGCCAAGCACTCATCGCAATCGCCGCCGCATCAAGTTTGCAAACCAGGTTGCGGGTGGGTGGGTGGGATGTTTGCGCGAGCAGTGGAGTGGACAACTCACTGCGAGCAGAAATGAATTGCACCACGTAGACTGTACCACACCTACTGCATCACGTAGATCGCATCACGCTGCATGCTAGAAGACACTCTCTGGGGCCCACGCTGGCTGATAAACACGCATATTCATAGACGTCTGGGCCCAGACCCTCCGACTTCTCCAAAGACTCCCCGAGAGGCCCCTACCGCCCCAGGGGTGACTGCGAAACCTGCCCCTCGACCTCCACCCCCCTCTCCCCTTGTCTCCTGGTTCTCCTCCTGATGATCCTCCTCATTGGGATGTACGCCCTGCTCTCGCTGGGGAAGCAGACTGCCGCATGGTGCGGCCCGCTCGGCTTGGGGAGGAGAGGCGCGCTGAATGCTGCGCTGGCGCGACGGCGGAACTTGCCGCAGACACTCGGCCATCGATCCGACCTCATCGTCTTCTGCTGCCGACATCCACGATGCATCGACGATGTATTCACGATATAACGACGATTCGAAATCAGCGCATCACGTCTTTGGTCATCCCCACTTTCCTGCGGATAAAATGGAAGAGTGGGTGGAGGAGGGGGAGTCGACGTAGCCTGAAAGAGCAAGGAGGGAGGAGGAGAAAGGGAAGAGAACGAGGTGGTGTTAGTGGAGCCGTTGGAGGCTGCAGCCGGAGCATCTCTGCACACTCCTAGCCCGCAGGAACGATACGGAAGCATGTGACGGGGAGCACTCATGTGAAGGGGAACTGGGACACACAAATAAATACACACAAATAAACAGATTCCCCATATTTTCGCATATGTTCTGGGTTTCTGTGTTCCTCCCCACTTCCCATATGTTCCCATATGTTCCTGGGAATCGAGGATGAATTGTGTCTGTGTGTGTTTTTTCCCTCCTGATCATGACAGCATGTCCAGCTCCGCTGCCTGCGGCAGCTCGCATGCCCAATCCTTGAGCGGACGGAGCCCCGCCTCGGCGGGGAGCATCCCGCACCGCGAAAGGAGGATTGGGAGGAGGACAGAAGAACAAACGAAGGATTGGGATTGGGAGGAGGACAGGGAGGATTGGGAGGATTGGGAGGAGGATTAGGAGGAGGAGGAGGAGGATTGGGAGGAGGATTGGGAGGAGGACAGAAGAACAAACGACAACATAAACATCGGCGCTGGACTCCCCTCCCTGGCGCGCTCCGCGCGCCAGTACGAGACCGATGCTGCATCACAGCAGCAATTCGGCCCCTGACTTTCGTCCTGGGTTCGGTTTAGTGAAGTGATGAATTTCATGGTCCTTACGTGGGAAAAAAAAACATCACTTCACTAATCTGGGGCCCCTGGGGCCTCAGTGGGCCCTGGGGCCCAAAATTAGTGAAGTGATTGTTTTCGGGCCTCGGACCGCACCGCGAAAGGAGGATTGGGAGGAGGATAGAAGAACAAACGAAAACATAAACATCGGCGCTGGACTCCCCTCCCTGGCGCGCTCCGCGCGCCAGGGGCGGCGCCGGAGGCGCCGCGGGGGGGGGGGGGGCAGCGCAGATCCATGAAATCCATACACACGTCCGCAAGTGGATGTTTCCCGCCGCTGCTCCCCCCGGACCTCTCGAGGGGTGCGTGCTGATCAGAATTTCGAAGCGAGTCCCGCCGTGGCAGCGAGGGATGAGTAGCGGCATCGATGTACGTTCCACTTCTGATGTGTATGCCTTTTCTTCTCCCTCGGGAAGAAGTGGAGTCAACTGAGAGGACAAAAAAGTACCGATACCGCTACGCCCTGAACCTCCCCGGGGGCGCATTCTGATCACAATGTCGAGGAGAATCCAGCCGTGGCGACCAGGGATCTCCACGACGAGCAGCAGCTTCGGTATAAATTTTCCTCCTACGATCAACGATGGCCATCGATCCGACGATGTGATTCTTTCAAACCGCTGCCCCAAAGGTGCGAACCCCTCCACCAGGCACATCTCCGCCCCTGATCCATTCTTGATGGTCCTGGGGCCCCCGAAAAAAGCCCCCAGAGGCCGGAATGAAGGAAAGATCGCTAGCACTAAGTCGGACCTGTCTCCCTACAGGCGGATTTTGAGCGAAAACCAACAGTAGTCCAAAAATGCCCCGAAATGGCAAAATACTCAAAAAACCGTCCCCCTACTATTTCTTGCCTATTTCTGAATATTATCCCCCCGCAGAGGGACAGGCCCGACTGGCGCAAGCACCGACAGAGAAACGGCTCGTCGGAGGTCTGGGGAGAGGCGGAGGCCAGGCCTCCACCTTCCTGTTCTGCAAGCCCGCCCTCAAGTGCCTCAGCGCATCCTCGGCGGACTCCACCGGCACCTGCGCGCGCGGTAACAGGGGATATGTCGACCCCTATCCCAGGCTTCGTGGGGTTTCCGAATGGACCAGAAATTTGGTGCCTAACCCTGGGATATACGATGGGGGGCTGTCCATTCTCGATAGGGGTGCGTCCGAATAGCCCCCTTGGGGTGTATCCCAGGGTTTTCCCATTCTTCTGAGCGGCCAGACTTCTCGGGCGAAACTCGGGGATTGGGGGAGAAACATCGCCCGCGACGCGGGACGCCAGCGGCGACCCCGCGCGGGCGGGCGCCAACTGGCGGCGCCCAGCCACCCCGCGCGGGAGGGCGCCAGCCGGCGGCGCCTTGCGGCGGCCGAGGCCCTCCGCGCGCGCCTTGCCCCGCCCCCCCCAAGGCTACCCTCGACTTCCACCGGGGAGGGGGAGGAGGAAGAAGAGGAGGAGGAAGAAGAAGAGGACGAGGAGGAGGAGGAGGAGGAGGAGGAGGAGGGGCCTCACAGAGAGCCCCCCCGCCCCCCTCACCTCCCTGCCAGGCCCTGCCCTCCCTCGGAAAGTCGACGCGGGGGAGGTCTTCGGTCGCTTCTGGCCCTTGCCGGGCCTCCAGGGTCTCTGGAGGCCTTCCTGAGGCATCCAGGGATCTCTGGGGACCTCTGGGGACCTCCAAGGACCTCCAGGGACCGCTGGGGGTCCGGGTTCAAGGCTGGAGCACAACTTGGGCCCTACGTGGCGGCGCGCAGAGCTGCGGCCTGGAGAGCCGAAGAGCCAGGGAGGCCAATGACACAGCTGGCCAGGACAGTCCCTCCATGCCCCCCCGCCGACCTCCCTCCCTTGCGAGAACGGCGCCCATGCACCGCACCATGTTTAGATTTCCTCCTCCTTCTCCTCCTCCTCCTCCTCCTCCTCCTCCTCCTCCTCCTCTTCCTCCTCCTCCTCCTCATCTTCCTCCTCTTCCTACGCCTCGGGAGACGCCAACGCGGTACAGTCAGTGCATACATACATGTTGTCCGCGGATCCCTCCCTGTTTATACTTGCGCTTCGCAGCCACGCGGTCGCTCCTCTCTGGTCGCGGCGCCCGCCCTCTCAACCCGCGCTTCTCCTGCCTGGCCCCGCTCTGCCACTTCGGCGCTTTTGCCGGCTGGACGAGCGTCCACGCGGCATGTTAAATGACCCTTTTTTATTCCTCCTGGGTAATAGTCGCTACCCGGGAGGAGCTTCGGGCAGCAAGGTAACCGTAACGGCGGCCGCGGCGTGCACCCGCCAGAGTGCGTCCGCGCCACCGGCACCTCAATCGCCTGTGTGCACCATATCATGTAAGGGTGTCCAGCACCCCCCCCCCGTACAATCGTTACGGTTAAGTCGGGCGTGTCCCCGTACAGGCGGATTTGGGACGAAACACTAAGCATAGTCAAGTAATATACGAAAACGATTAAGAATAGTCAAAAATCGTCCCCTGACTATTTTTTGTGCTCTTTTTGAATTTTCCTCCTATAGAGGGACAGGCCCGGCTGAACGCTAGCGTTACCCAAGGGGGGGGGGGGGCGGGCAACGAGCGGTACCCTGGGGGGCCGGGTAACGAGCGGCACCCTGGGGGGGAAAAAGACACTCACGAGGAAGCAGCTCCATCTCCACGCGCCTAAGCCAAATTACACGAGATTAGGAGACTGCTTCGTTTTGAATCGGCGATCAAACGTTATCCCCAGGGGGGGGAGGAGGGGGCTGGCCGATAACCTAACCTTCGGATTGTGGGCAGCCGCGCATATGCCCGCGCCCCCCACCCCGGACCTGCACAACCAGCAAGGTCAGATTATCCTGGGGGGGGGCATTACCCGGGTGATCGCCAGACCCTTAAAAAAACAGCCTCTACTGAGATGTCCAGGGGCCTTGCTTAGTGGTCAGCCTGACTCAACTGGGTTGCAAGTTCCCGTAACCTACCTGACAACTCGGCGAACCTATGTTACAAGCTTCACATCCAAGGCTAAGTTGGGTACGCATGCACATCCATGGGGTAAACACTATTGCGCTTTAGCCGAATTTACCAGAACCCAGAAGAAGCATTCCACTCACATGTATCTAGGATAAAGTAACCACACAACCTGGTTAGCAGGGATATCAAACAGCCAAGATAACCAGGTTAGCTCAGGCCCCAACCTACGCGTAACCTGGTTACGTAACCAGATCAGCTCGGTCTAAAAAGCTCGATTCCTGGATGGGCCGCGGCGGTTTTCGAAGTTGCCCCTGGGGAATGTATGTTCAAACCAGGCATCCTGGGAGAGGGGGAGAACAACAAGCTGAGTTTTGCTTGCGAACCACGTCAGACATAGCCTCCTCGGCTCGAGCTTGCGATTGCGATCGGGCGCTCCTGGTTTCAGCTCCATCACCTCGGGATCCTCGGAGCAACACGTCGCGCAGCAGTCCGCCGCGCGCCGCGGGCGATACAGCGAGGGAAGTCATGCCACTGATCAACCAGATCACTCAGGACTACGACCCCGGGGGCGACGACCGAGGCAAAGGCCCGATGAAGGCCAAGGCAGACCAGATCTGCGAGATGTTGCTCTCAAGTCTAACCTGCCCTACTGGGAGGCCATCCACGACGACGAGGTCGTCGCTGACCCATGCAAGCGCAATCAAGGCTGGGGCGATTCGGCGTTGGAGACCCCGCGCTGCTTCGAGATCGGCCCGAACAGAATGGACGCCGTCTTCGACGTCAACGATCGCTTGCACGCCGCATCGGGCGGCCAGCTGGCCCCCGTCGCGAAGCACGACATGCGGGTCGCGACGGTGACGCGCTCGCATACTACAGATGGGAAGAGGGCGGATTTGGCGGGGCGCACTTCGAACCAGACCAAGTTGCGCCAGGATGGATTTCTGAGCAGGGCCAAGGTTGTGCCTCATTATCTTACTTCTCCTCTTCCTTACTGTTCTTCCAAATCAGCTTCATCTTTCCCTTTGCCGCAGGTAGCCGCGCTGCGCCCGAGCTACGACAAGGCGCTCAACTACGGCATCAAGTGGCCCGTCATCCGCCGTCAGGTCCGCGATGCGCCCAACGAACTTGCGGATTTCCCGAGCCTGGCTGGCAACAGCGGCCACGGGACGCAGCGGAAGCAGACGCACGCGCAAACGACGTTGGCACCCCGCTCCAAGGCCTTGAAAAACAATGCCGTCATGGGCGACTTTACGCTCGACAACATCGCGCGCGACATGGAGAGCGCTCAACCTCACATGGAGGGGCCGGTCCGGAAAATCGGAGAGCTCGCGGCGAAGTGGGGCGGCGGCGAGAACCCAATCCACCTGCAATGCATCCAGGACTGCAGCATAGCGCCGGCGTTGAGGCGCGAGTTGCCGGCATCATTGTTTAGGTCGTTGTCTTTGCTGCAGATTGCGCAGGGGCCCCGCGCTGCGTCGCCGCGCTGGTGAAGGCTTCCCTCGCGGCACCTGATCAATGCTGCAATGGACAATGCTCGAAACTTCTGTCTACGACCGACCTTTCGAGAGTCGCGAAGAAACGGGATCTGACGATCGAGGCGAACGATCAGATGGCGATGGCGAAGGCGCGGCTGGAGAAGAACATCACAGAGGGCAAGGCCAACGGGGGCGCGGCGAAGTGATAGGGTGAGTTCCAGGCGCGGATGGCGATGCGCTTGCACGAAAAGAAAAGCAGACATCGTACCCATTACAAGACCACTGGCGAGATCTGCCAGAACTTCCCCATGGACGCGCTCGCCAAGTTCCCGCGGCTTGAAGCATCGACCTCGCCTCGGCCGCGCGAGGAGGCGGATGGAGGGGGTGTTCCCAGCGCGTCGGGGTTGAGCGGCGCAGCGATGAGGGGGGTCCGGCGAGGGCGGGCTTTCCTCCGACGCCCTGGGGGATAGCGGGTTCGAGCAGAACGCTGCGGCCAAGCCCCAAGTTCGGCAATGGCGACGCGAAGCCAAGGAAAATCATAGAGATCAAGTCTGACAACGTCAGCTCGGCGGAGATCAAGAAGAAGGGCACGCTCACCATCATCGACAAGCACGCGGCGCCACCGCTGCTTTTGGACGAGCACGAGGTTCGGGCCGCCACAAACCACTACCCAGACCCGATAGGGCTATGATGTCTATACATCCACTAACTACACACTATGGCAACCACTGTTACCACTAGCACTTGAGGGCCTATTGGAGTGGCCAGCTATGGGCGAGGAGGGAGGAGAGGGAGGGGAGGGCAAGGAGAGGGGGGAGGAGCAAGAGGAGAGGGGGGAGGAGGAGGAGGAGGAGGAGGAGGAGGAGGAGGAGGAGGAGGAGGAGGGAGGAGGAGGAGGAAGGAGGAGGAGGAGGAGGAGGAGGAGGAGAGGGGGGAGGAGAAGGAGGCGGAAGAGGAAGAGGAGGAGGAAGAAGAACAATAGGACGACGAGAGCGAGTGATAATAACCACGGCCCCAGGTTGTCAACGACGACGCCATGTCAGTCGACGTCGACTCCAGCGACCCCCGGGGCAGCCGTCGGCGGGGGGGGCGACGGATTAGCATGAGGCCGATGGACACGCTATCTGTTCCGTGGCACTCCTCCTCTTGTTTCTCGCCCCATCTTCGTATTATGACTTGCCTTTGCTGGCACCGTTTCCCCCCCCTCCTCCTTCTCGCCTGCCCCCCGCCCCTCTCCCCCCCCCCCTCCCCATGCCCCACACACACACACACACGCGCACGCACGCACGCACGCACGCAGGCACACACACACACACACACACACACACAACACACACACACACACGCACACGCACACACACACACACACCACACACACACACACACACACACACACACAACCCCCCCACCCCCGCCTCGCGCCCCCCCCCCCATACGCTGGCACATGGAGGGGAGAATAGGACGGGAGATGACGGTAATGAGGGAGTACGCTGAACTTTTCTCACGCCACGGGGTCGCAATCGCTCGCACCCCCAAGCCGCAGGGAAGGGGGACGCATGCAAAGGGGGGAAGAGGATGTAGGCACATCGCGTCTGCCTGCTCTGCTCGCATAGGAGCACCGCGA